TATGGCCATATTTAACACTGCATGCTTAACCAACTCGTTAATAGCAGCTTAGATCTATCTACTTCCAATGCCCGATTTTCCATTTCGGTACACCATCCTACATCTTAACTTACTACACCAATATGCACGAAAATTTTGTTCTTGCTTCACCACCTAACAGGCTGTGTTCATCAGAAGGAAAAGAGGCGGCGGTAAAAAAGAGATGTTGTTCAAGTATAATATAGGCAAGGAAACAGATATAGTAGAGTTTATTATAAGTCCAGACAGGGCTTCGGGTGTTATTCTTAGTGCCAGTTTTCCAGGCAAAACCAAATCCATCCTGTATTTTGTAGAAGACGCCTTTATTTACTTTTCCACTGAATACATAGCAGCCTGTTTGCTACCAATGGAAGCGTGTACGATATTTGCAATGTCCTCTTCGAAGCTACGGGTGTACCCAGGAACATCCTCGACGACCTGTGCGCATAGCATAACTACGTAAACGATAATGAAAGTAAAGATCTTCGGAAGCTACTGAGTAAGCATGGTGATATATTCCTATTACAAGGGTCTAACCAGGAAGCGTCAGACGTTGTCGTAACTATAGTTGACACCGCCAAAGCTAGATCGGTTGTGTACCCACTCGGATGCACACCACACACTGCTGAAAGAGGTGTACCATCTGGTGAAAGAATTGAGCAGAGACGAATTCATAGGGCAACCAAAGTCACCATGGATGATACCAATCCCTCTAGTAAAAAGGACAAAAATCGGCGGTTGTGCGGTTGGCAAAGTACCTACATTGGTCAGCTTGGTTCCTTATTTTATAATTTAAATCAGTATACAGGTTTGTAGAAATGGTCGAAGAGGACAAAAGATGATTACTTTCAACTCGTCGATCCTCTGAACTAATAAATCGTCATATAAGTTATTGGAAGAGGTACTTTAAGCATCTCTGTTGGATGCTATTTCCACAATCCTCATCGGTTGCTCACATTACAACGCCTGTTGCCATCAGTGAAAGTGACGCCTGTGGTGGTTTGCGTGTAGTTGGTATTGATAATGCTTGGACTTCCTACTCCTTTGCTTCTTCTAAGTTTCGCTCCACAACGTCCTTCAGCAATGTTCACATGTTAAATTTATCTAGTAAATTAGCATCACTTGAGGCCCCACAGCAGTCAAGAGACTAATCAAGTGGACTGCTAGCAGAGGTGTGGTACGATTCAGTACGTTGCATAAGTTCACATCTGTAGTAAAACCGAAATGAAAGGCAAATTCAAGTGAAAAATTAGCACAACCAAACGAACAGCTGGAAGGCAAGCTGCGAAATCTGTCATGGTGGACAGTTTAATGTAAGAAAAAGTTTAAATCTGTGTAATGG